CGTCTGTTTGAACCTCCTGTTCTCTCTCTAGGCTTGGGATTCTCTCTCCATCCTCCCTACCACCTCCTGCTCCCTCCTTCATCATCAGAATGGCAAACAATGGAACCTCAAGACAAGGGTACTGGACTCCCAAGCTGATACGAAATTGAGACGACAGTGTCGGGGGCCCAGGAGTGAGTTTGGGAACGAACAGATAAAAAGCAGACCCACAGCAAAACATCCCGACCCACCTGTACGACAGAAACTATTAAACCCAGGAAGGGCCTGAGTGAGACCTTGGCCAGAGTCGCAGCCTATCACTGAAGAGAGCCTGCCAGGGCCGCGGGTAGCCCAGCAGAGCTGGGGCAGAACCAGGGGGAAAAAAAAACGTGTCAGCTCCTCACTGCTCTGCGGAGTACCCCACTGGTTGACTTCCAGGTCACTTCCCTCCCACTGCCTAACTGCCACGGAAGGACATACCTGCAGACACACCTGGGAGGGTTTGAACCAACCGCCCCAGGTCCATGCTAACAAGGGTCGGAAGGCTGTTCTTCCTCTGCCTTTGCTCTAGGATAGGAACTGGCATCACACATCCTTCCCACCAACATGTGTGAAGTTGACTAAGGCTCAGGGTGAGTGCTCTATAGTATTTATGATTTGTTCTCTCCTGTAGGCTCTGAATCATCCATTTTACTGCATTATAACGTAGCTATTTCTACTATACTATCTTTGTGTGCCCCCAAACAGAGTAGAGTAGCTAGCCTAAGGTAGGTGTTCAATAAACATATGCTGGATTTAAAATCTTAACGTTTATCTCCACAGCTAGAATATGCTTTTGGCAGGCAGGGATCGTGTGTTCAATTTTCTTTGCACACGCTTCCAAGACACAGAAACATGTAGGTGCCCAATACATAATCATGACTGATTAGTTGGTCAAACATAATACACCCTCCAGGCTCAGGCTGAGCAACCTTCCTGTACATGAACTCTGAAAACTACATTTGGGCATGTGGGAGCTCTTTGCTCTTTCAGGGCTTCTCTATCCCCAGAGAAGCAGGGGGCAGGGGTATCACCTGGGATGGTTTCTCAGAGATCTACACTTTGTTTTTTTTAAGATTTTATTTATTTGGGATCTCTGGGTGGCTCAGCAGTTGAGCATCTGCCTTTATCGTGGGGGGTGATCCTGGAGACCCAGGATCGAGTCCCACTTTGGGCTCCCTGCATGGAGCCTGCTTCTCCCTCTGCCTGTGTCTCTGCTTCTCTCTCTCTGTCTCTCTGGGTCTCTCACAAATAAATAAATAAAATATTTTAAAAAAATTTTTATTTATTTATTTGAGAGACAGAGAGCGAGCACAAGTAGGGGGAGGGGCAGAGGGAGAAGCAGGCTCTGTCAGAGCAAGGAGGCCAATGATGGGGGCTAGACCCTGGGAATCATGACCTGAGCTCAAGGCAGATGCTTAACCGACTGAGCCACCCAGGCGCCCTAGGGATCTACACTTCATTTATTTATTTTTTTAAAGATTTTATTTATGGGATCCCTGGGTGGCGCAGCGGTTTGGCGCCTGCCTTTGGCCCAGGGCGCGATCCTGGAGACCCGGGATCTAATCCCACGTCGGGCTCCCGGTGCATGGAGCCTGCTTCTCCCTCTGCCTGTGTCTCTGCCTCTTTCTCTGTGTGTCTCATGAATACATAAATAAAATCGTTTTTTTTTTTTTATGATAGTCACAGAGAGAGAGAGAGAGAGAGAGAGAGAGAGAGAGGCAGAGACACAGGCAGAGGGAGAAGCAGGCTTCCTGCGGGGAGCCCGATGTGGGACTCGATCCCAAGACCCCATCCCCAGACTCAGGACCACAACCTGAGCCGAACGCAGACGCTCAACCACTGAGCCACCCAGGTGCCCCCAGGGATCTATACTTTAAAGCAATGGTTTTGAAACCAGTACTGAAACCAGTAAGGACACTGAATCCACGAGCACACTCATATGAACAGAGGCATGTGTTGCATAAACATAGATGCCATACGGATTTATTATGCGCAGGTATGATTCTGGGATAGCGGACGTATCAAAGCTGATAACCACTTACCATTAGCAAATTATCAGATAAGTAATAATAACAGCAGTGCAGACTTCTGTTCTTTAATGGCTCTTCTCATTAGAACTGGTAGCAAATCAAAAATGTTTTGACGAAGGATAAATACCAGTATAATTTACCCCCTCCCTCAGGTTCACTACTTCTGGGGGCACCAAGACCTACTCTCAAAAAAAAACCCGAACAGGGGCACCTGGGTGGCTCAGAGGTTAAGCATCTGTCTTTGGCTCAGGGCATGATTTCTGGGTCCTGGGATAGAGGTAGGCATCCCCCACCCCTCCCTGCAGGGAGCCTGCTTCTCCCTCTGCCTGCGTCTCTGCCTCTCTCTGTGTGTCTCTCACGAATAAATAAATAAAATCTTAAAAACAAAACAACCACCCAAACACATGCACACAGGCCATTGCTTAAAATTAAAAGCTACAGGCCTGGAGGAGAAATCATAGGGCTTCAGAAAGGAGGAACGGAGGCCTTCACCCCAGCCCCCCACCCCCAGAGACCTTGGGCAAATCATGACACTATTTGAGTCTCCGTGCGCTGGTCTGTAAAATGGGGTTAGTAACCCCCCACCTCACCTCACAGGACCCTCTTAATAAATGTGAGGATTCAAAGTGGGGGTAGAGGGTGGGAGAACACCCTGCCAAGTCATACAAACATAGTATCATCATTGAAATCTGTTAATCACCGATGACACTGTACCCCAGAATGCGTTACAAAATTACTGCCTACAAGGGTGCATTATCTAGGACAGACACCGGACACACCAGAGGAGATGATCTGTGTGTAAATCGAACCCTGTTTCAAGCTCTCCGAGGGAGTTTCCTCAGGCAACCTGAGCGCGCCCTGGAGGGCCGCAGAGCTAGCGTTGGTCGGGGGGCATCCTGCTCCCGCGTAACTGGGTCCTCCCGGGAGCCTGGCGAGTTCCTCGCGCGGGCCGAGCCTGCTCGAGGCCGGGGTTCCCGAGGCTTCCAGGCCCGAGCCCGCGCGGGGCAGGAGGAACCCGGCCCGGACAGCCCGCGGCCCCTCCCCGGGCCCGGGGCGGCTCCTTCCTCTCTCCTCCGGCTCCCGCGGCGGCGGCGGCGGCGGCGCTCGTGCTGTGTCACCTTCGCCCACCCGAGACTCCAGCCGCCTCGGGGCCCGCAGCTCCAGGCTTCCCCGGCTGCGCGCCGGCCCTGGGCTCGGGGCGGGACCCCAGGCCGCACGGACCCGCGGCGAAGGCGGCCTAGGACGGCGGCCCGCAGCCGGCGGGGGGGGGGGGGGGGGCAGCGGGGGGGGGCAGCGGGGGGGGCAGCCGGGTGGGAGGGGCAGGCGGGGGGGGACAGGCGGGAGGGCAGGGGGGAGTAGCCGGGGGGGGGGGGAACAGGCGGGGGGCAGCCGGGGGGGGGGGGGCAGCCGGGTGGGAGGGGCAGGCGGGGCCTGGCGGGGGGCAGGCGGGGAGCAGGCGGGGGGGCAGCGGGGGGGGGCAGCCGGGTGGGGGGGCAGGCGGGGCCTGGCGGGGGGCAGGCGGGGAGCAGGCGGGGGGGCAGCGGGGGGGGGCAGCCGGGTGGGGGGGGCAGGCGGGGCCTGGCGGGGGGCAGGCGGGGAGCAGGCGGGGGGGCAGCGGGGGGGGGCAGCCGGGTGGGGGGGCAGGCGGGGCCTGGCGGGGGGCAGGCGGGGAGCAGGCGGGGGGGCAGCGGGGGGGGGCAGCCGGGTGGGGGGGGGGCAGGCGGGGCCTGGCGGGCCGCGCGCGGCGTCTCCAGGACCAAGACCTGGAGGCGGGTGCGCAGGGCGCGCTGGTCCTCCCCAGGGTCCCCGCGGCAGCGGCGGGCGCCGGGCAAGGGTCCACCCGAGCGCGTCGCCGGGGTGGGGGGCGGCGACAGCGCGCGCCCACGGCCCCTCCCGGCCCGGCGGGACCCGCACCCCGCCCCGCCCCGCCCCGCCCCGCCGAGGAGGCTGCCGGCCGCCGGGTCAGGGGGCATCGGGGCCGCGGAGGGAGGCCGGGCGCGTGGCCCCGGACTCCGTCGCCGACCCGGCGCACCCGCCACTGCGGGGTTCCCGGGCCGGCCGCACAGCCGCAGCGCCCCAGGCCGGGTCACCCGGCCGCGTGCGCGCGCGGACACACGCGGGACTAGGAGCCCGACCGCGGCCCCCCCGCGCCGCCCCCGCGCTCGGCCTCACACGCACAGCTGGGCGGGGAGGCGACGCCTCGCTCCTCGGGCGGGGGACACACAGGCCTCCCGCAGCCGGCCCCAGCAGCCGGCCCTCCCCTCGACCGGCCGCGCCCCCTCCCTGCTCACACCGGGCCCCGACCGCGGCCCCGACAAGTCCACGGGGCCCGACCAGCAGCGCCGGCCGGACGAGCGGCTCCGAGCTCCGATGGTCCCTCCACGCCAGTGTCCGGGCGCGCCCGGCTCACGCCCGCGGGCCCCGGGACGCCTCCCCCTGGCGGCCTGGGGGCCTCGGCCCGCCCACCGCCCGCTGCGCTCCCTGCCCGCGCGACCGCGTCCGGCACTGTCACCTGCTCCTCGTCCAGAAGAGCCCGGGCCGGAGCCCACCCCGCGGCCGCTGTCGGCTGAACCCCGCTCCGCCGGGCGGACCCATTCCCAGGCCCGACTACGCCGCGGCGACGGGACTGGGAATGAAAAGCCGACAGTCCCCACCGTAGGCGAGGTCCAAAGCCGCGACCGCAGAGACCCCGCCGACCCGGGTTCGGGCTCCGCGCCCATCCCCCGCGCCCCCGGGCCCGGTGCCGCCCGTCTCGACGACAGACATCCCCGCGCTCGCGGCGACGGGCGCGCACACTCCCTCCCGCACGGCCGCCCAGACACAATCAGACGCCGCGGGAGGGAGGGAGGGAGGGAGGGGCTGCCGGAGACCCTGTCCCGGGGTCCCCCCGAGCCGCCAGCGCGGCGTCCCGAGAGGCCCGGAGTGGCCGCCCGGGGCCGCGCTCCCTACCTCGGCGGAGCGCGGTCGGAACAGCTGCAAGTTTGGCCGCTACTCGAGCAGCTGCCTGACGCGGCCAATGCGGGCTCCGACACAAAAGGGAGCGCAATCACGCTCGCTCTCCGCCGCCCCCCGCCCCCGGCTCGGAACCCGGCACATGACAGCGGCTACACCGCGCGGCTCCGACGCGAGTCGGGCTCCAGCCGTGCGCCCCCGAGAGCTCCCCCTTCCCGGGAGCCCCAAGGCCACGGCTGCCCACCGGGCTGGGAGCGCTGCGGGGGGGGACGGGGCGAACCTGGGGGGGGCCCTGGAGCGCGACCCGCGAGCGGAGGGCGTCGGAGGCGGGGCGCGGGCGCGGGGCGGCGGGGCGCGGGCGCGGGGCGCGGGGGGCTGATTGTCTGCGGCGGCTTCCTGGGGTTTATCCATGAGCACGCGCACGTCACGCAGCCCTCCCGGCGGGTCCCCGAATCGATCCGCAAAAGCTGCGCTGACTCAAGGAGGGGGGCGGGCGGGGGGATGCTCACCTCGGGGCTCCTCCGGCCGCCGCTCCGAGTCCGAGTCGGGGGTGGGGGAAGGGGGCAGGGAAGGGGAAGGGAGGGAGGAGGCCCCAGAGAGCCGACTCCCGCCGCGAGTTCCGCGCGTCCCGGCTGCGGAGGGGACCGGGCGCCCCAGCGCACAAACCCAGCCGAGAGGGGAGGGAGGGAGGGAGGGAGGGAGGGAGGGGAGGGAGAGAGGGAGGGAGGGGCGGGTGGGGGGGAGGGAGTAGAGGAAGAAAAAAAAAAAAAAGCCGATCCCTGCTCTGACACAGGGAAAGAGAATGCGGGAGGGTGACGTCCCGGCCCCGCCCTCCCCTCCGGCCACGTGCGCGGGCTTGAAAGGGAAGAGGGCGGCGCGAGGCCTGCTGGGTAATGTAGTCCGCCTTTCTTTCCGGGGGTGGCGGGCCCGGGAGAGCGCGGCGCCGCGGGGACGCCGGGGATGCCGCCGACGCGGCGGGGACCGGCCCGCGGGGCCCCTCCCCGCGCCCGTGGCGCGGCGCCGCGGGGGGACCTGCGCGGGGGGAGAGCGGGGGGGCTCGGGCGCGGTCCGGGCTTGCGAGGGAAGCGCCCGGTTTCAGGGGCAGGAAGGCTCCAAGGATGGGGACTTCCGTGCCCGAAGTGCAAAGTCTGCCCCAGTGGCAGATAAAAGGAAGCGTTGGTGCTCGCTGGGCCGTCCGAGTGGCGTTATTAACACCGCATTAAGTGCTAACGTCTGTTACTGAGCTGTGCACGTTATGATTGACGTTTGAACATCTCTGTGGCAGGGGCGGGATGTTGTAATTAGAGATGCACTTTGCCACCGATTAATTTTCCTTTGGCCGTGCTAGAGTTGGGACCGGGGACCTGGTGGCTGGGGGAATTCAGCGTGGCGGATGATTCAGTGATCACTCGGCCAGATCACCGGTGTTTTCCAAGCACCTACTAGGTGCCAGACACTGAGGTTTGGACAGGGAGGCCTTCCTTCCTGAGAAATACAGGATGCTGTACACCCCTCCAAGCAAGGGGTGTAGAAACCCCCCGGAGGAACTGTGGGAGTCAGTGTAACCGCAGTACAGATCCATTTATTGACACATAGGACTTTTGATGAGCACTTTCCACAGATGGGACGTGTCTGGGAATGCCGAGACAAGCAAGTCCCTCCTGGAGCTCAAAGTCTAGGGTGAGGACTACAGGCAATGAAAGGATAGGGAATAAGACAACACTTAACACAGGGATGAGCAGAAAGTTCTAAGGAACCCTTGGCAGGAGCAGCCAACCAGGATGGAGGGTGGATGCAGGGCAGGAGGAGGCTTTCTGGAGGAGGTGGCACTCGACCTAAGGATTACTAAGATTTTTTAACGAAGCCCAAGGAAGGGGTAGGCATCTGACTAAGACTCTAGGTGAGACAGAAAAAGGCAATTCTGAAAGTCCCAGCAGTTTGACAAGGCCGGGGCAGGGTGGGGGGGTGGGATGGGGGTGGCGGGGGGAGTTGGGGGAGCGCAGGCTGCTGGGAGAGTTTGAGGTGGGGGGAACAAGAATGCAGGGTGGGTGCAGAGGGTAGAAAGAGCCTGGGATGGCTTCTCACTAGAGGTGAGGCTTTAAGTAGGCCTTGAAAGGAGGGGTGGCATTTTGAGTAGAGAGCCTATCTCCCAGGCTTGCGACTCAGCATGAGCCAAACTATAGAAAGAAAGCAAAGCTCATCCACAGCGACACCCTGCAGAGCAGCTCATTTGATCCTTGTAGCAAAGGGCATGGGGACATGTCATCCCCTCCCTTCTAGGGGAAGACAGCAGGTCCACAGCTGCACTTTGGTAAGGAGTGGAGGAGGCATAGGAAGCGAGCTGTCTGGGTGCCAGGTCTGGTCCCCCCACCAAAGGAACGTGTTTAAGCATACCTGACTTCCCGCTGGTTTGTCCCTCTTAGCATTTATGCCTCATTGGTTCAAGCAGCGTCTTATTTTTTTATGCTTTAACATCTGGATGATTTCCTAGGTTTACAAAAATATGCGATAGTACTGGAGTCCATCCACTCAGCAAATTCCCATTTGCCTACCTTTTTCGTCAATGCTGTTTTGCACGATGCGTGCTATGCATGCCACCTGCACAGAAGCAAGAATGGAATGGTCTGGGTCTTGGTTTTGCTTTTGCTTTTTTTTTTTTTTTTAAGAATTTATTTATTTATTCATGAGAGACAGAGAGAAGCAGAGACACAGGTAGAGAGAGAAGCAAGCTCTATGCAGGAAGCCTGAGGCAGAACTCAGTCTGGGGTCTCCAGGATCAGGCCCTAGGCCGAAGGTGGCGCTAAACCACTGAGCCACCCGGGCTGCCCTTGCTTTTGCTTTAAATCACACCCCCAGAGGTGACAAGAGGCTGAGCAATGTGCAGAATGCAAAACATCCGCGGAGAGTACACACCTCTGTTTGGGGAGAGTGCCTGGGATGAGAGGGCCAGCCGCGACAGTGCGCAGACGGGAAGTCAGCTTGACCCCTGGGTTTGAATCTTGGGCATGGCACTTCCTGGCACTGTGACCTTGGACAGCTTCCTTCACTTCTACATGGTGACCTTGGATAGTTGACTCAACAACCATCCTTGGCCTTGTGATAACGTCTTTAGGCTTGCTCTGCCACATAGCAAGTATTCTGTGACGGTGGATTCCTTCTCTGATCCCAAGGTCTTTCCGAGCCAGGAGAGGGATTCCTGAATTTTTCTTTCTGTGAAGTTGCCAGCAGAGCTGGTGCTGCCCAGAGGATTCTTGGGGTGGGGGTGGGCTGGGGGTAACTCATCTTCATGTGTGAAATAAGTTAGGTTTGTCTTCAAGGAACCTTCGGTTCTAGTTTCCCCCTGCCACAGGCCCAGCTCTGAGAGGGAGGCCCTGTGGGACCCTCAGAACAAAGTTTCCCAAAATGGGAGGCCCAGGGCCCCCACGGTCTTCATCTGGTGTCCTTCTGTCTCTGTAGCTGATCTTAAGCCCAACCTGCAGCCTTGGGTCCGAGCTGCTGCTGGGTGCAGAGGTAACAAACTGGCACCAGAATGGGTTTAATTGCGGCAGATCTGAGTGCCAAGAATTGCCTTTGTTTGACTTGTCACCACAGAGGCTAGAAATGAAAGTCAGAATGATTCTCTCTGTGTTAAGCAACTGCTTTTCCTAATTCACATGTGCCGAAGATAATAGCAAAAACAAATATTCTCCTTTCTTCTTCCTTCTCCTTCTGCCTGCCTTCCAGCCTTCCCTCCATCAGTCAATACATTTATATACGTATGTATGTATGTATGTATGTATGTATTTTTTAAGATTTTATTTATTTATTCATGAGACACACACAGGGGGTGGGGCAGAGACACAGGCAGAGGGAGAAGCAGGCTCCCTGTGGGGACCCTGGGGTCACGATGACCTGAGCCAAAGGCAGACGCTCAACCATTGAGCCACCCAGGTGCCCCAGTCAATATATTTATTGAAGACCGGATGGGAGCCCACCAGAGTGTGGGGTGGGGGTAAGAGGTTACCTGCCTTTAGCAGCTGAGGAGACCAGGCTGGCTCCAGTGTGATATGAGGGAAAATGATGAAATGCCACACTAATGTGAGGGGGACTTTTTTATATATATACAAATTTATTTTTTATTGGTGTTCAATTTGCCAACATATAGCATAACACCCAGTGCTCATCCCATCAAGTGTCCCCCTCAGTGCCCGTCACCCAGTTACCCCCACCACCTGCCCACCTCCCCTTCCACCACCCCTAGTTCGTTTCACAAACTTAGGAGTCTCTCATGTTCTGTCTCCCTTTCTGATATTTCCCACTCATTTTTGCTCCTTTCCCCTTTATTCCCTTTCACTATTATTTATATTCCCCAAATGAATGAGAACATATAATGTTTGTCCTTCTCCGATTGACTTACTTCACTCAGCGTAATACCCTCCAGTTCCATCCACGTCGAAGCAAATGGTGGGTATTTGTCGTTTCTAATGGCTGAGGAATATTCCATTGTATACATAGACCACATCTTCTTTATCCATCATCTTTCAATGGACACCAAGGCTCCTTCCACAGTTTGGCTATTGTGGACATTGCTGCTAGAAACATCGGGGTGCAGGTGTCTCGGCGTTTCACTGCATCTGTATCTTTGGGGAAAATCCCCAGCAGTGCAATTGCTGGGTCATAGGGCAGATCTATTTTGAACTCTTCGAGGAACCTCCACACAGTTTTCTAGAGTGGCTGCACCAGTTCACATTCCCACCAACAGTGCAGGAGTGTTCGAGGGGGACTTTTTTGTAAGTGAGCAAAGGCTTCCTAGTAGGTTGGCATGGTCAGAGAAGGCTCCTGGGAGGAAAATGGGCATGGCGGGAGGACATCAGTGGCCAAAATCCCTGTTGTGTAGCATTGGCCTGGGAGGCGTTGCAGAAAAAACTAGAAACTAGAGTGGGTTTGTCCTGTGTCAGTCTGGTGGCCACTGGCCGGCAGAAGGAGGGAAGTTACCCAACTGGTGTCTACACTCTGTTACTGTGGTGTTGGCCTGGAGAGATAATGGCTTGCTAGAACCAGGTTATATTTCACCCATGCCTCATCTCAGCTTCCACCTCACAACCCCAAAGACCAACATCTGAAAGGCAGATGGAAATTGATCCTCTAGGGCTGAAGTCGGTGGTGGAGGAAAGCTCTCACTAGAGAACAATTGAGCTTGTATAAGGCCAAAGCTCAATAAGAAATAAACCAAGGGGTGTTTATTGGGAACGTGCTATGCAT